ATACACATTTTTCTTTCGAAAATGCTGAATTTCTGCTTCCGGCGCCCGGGAGGGAGGCCGTCTGGGCCGATTCCGGAGCTCGGGCCGGCACCCGGCCCGGCTCCCGGGCCGGACGCCCGGGTCGGCGCCCGAGCCGGCGCCCGGGCGCCAGAAAATCGAGTTCCGAGGCGGCGCCGAAAAAAGGCCATTCCAATACACATTTTTCTTTCGACAATGCTGAATTTCTGCTTCCGGCGCCCGGGAAGCCGTCCGGGCCGATTCCGGATCTCGGGCCGGCACCCGGCTCGGCTCCCGGGCCGCCCGAGCCGGCGCCCGTACGTGGTGCTTCTCTGCTTCTGGCGCCTGCGCAGCTTCCCGAGCCGCTTCTGGAACCATATCTGGGCCGGTCCAGCGATAGGTTTCCTGGATGTGCTGAACCATCTAACTTCTTGAGACTTCTGCGTCTCAAGGATAGGGAGAGAAGACATTAAAGGAGGATCAAAGAGCAACGTCGCTATGAACGCTTGGCTGCCACAAGCCAGTTCTACTTACTTGGACTACTACTACCGTTACCACTACTACTAGTGCTACAGCCGCAACAACAATATCATCAACTGCTGCTACTACAACTTCTCATCCTTCCTCCCCCTCCTCCCCCTCCCTTCTCCTCCTCCCCCTCCCTATCTCTCTCATCTCCCCCTCCTCTTCCTCTTCCTCTCCCTCTGAGATGCGGGGCATGCGCAAGGCGATTGCGAAGGCGATGTGCCGTCCGAGCTATGGATGTTGAAGTTCCTCGGAAGAGGTGGTGGCCAAACCTTCTTGGGCGGGATATCTGGGTGAGGGAATATCGGATCCCGCATGCCAGAAAGATCCCCCATGATGGGGTGTGTTATCCAGATGGATGCGTGTGTCATGTGGAAGCATGGCGCATGAGGGTAAAATGATTGTTGTTGTTGTTGCTGGTGTGTGTGTGTGTGTGTGTGTGCGTGTGTGTGTGTGTGTGTGTGTGTGTGTTTTGTATGTTTTGTATGATTTTTTTTGTGTTGTGTGTGTGTGGTTCCTCCTCATTTCCTTGTGTGTGTAGTGCGTGAGTGTGTGATGTTGATTTGGTGTTTTGTTTCCACAGTTTTTTTCTTTTTTTTTTTTTTTTTTTTTTTTTTTTTTTTTTTTTCCCCCCCCCCCCCCCCCCCCCACACACACAATGTGTTTTTTCCCACAGACGGCGCCCCCACCGCTGCCCGCCTGTCGTCGGCGCGCGCCAGTCGGGGGCAACGCCATGGGGGGGGATGAGCAGGGCTCGTGTCGACTCCTAGGAGGCGCTAGGGGTAGGTAGGAGGGACAATCATTATTATCGTATTCCTCTCGGTAGCCGTTTGGGCTCCAGTCTGGAGGACCGGTAACAGCCATACACAGGTTCCAAGCCTGTGGGAACCACAGAATACAGCCGATTCCGGGGAGCCCACGAGAAAAGAGGGGGGGGATGAGCAGGGCTCGTGTCGACTCCTCCGATGCGACTCGGCGCGATGTCGATGGCTTGGCGTCGCTCGGACGTGTGCATTTCTCCTTCGGCGAGGGCCATTGAGGAGCATCCTTGATCATTTGGCGAAAAAGCCACGCACGAAATCAAAAAAAACACAGGGAATGGACGTCCGAGCGATGGCCAGAGGGGCTCAGGCTTCCGACTCTGCTCGGCTTCGGGCTCCGATCTGGAGAGCCCGATCCCTCGACGTGGCCCCTGGTGGCCTGCCGGCCTCCGCCGGCTTGGCTTCTCCCGGCCTTTTGGCTGCAGATCTTCGCCGGTCCGAGGCACAGCCTTCGCCGATCCGACTGATCGATTTCATCCTGGGCTCTCCCGGGGATGGGCTCCCTCCCTCCCTCCCTCCCTCCCTCCCTCCCCTCCCCTCCCCCCCCCCCCCCTCCCCTCCCTCCCCTCCCTCCCCCCCTCCCCTCCCCCTCCCCTTCCCTCCCCTCTCCTCCCTCCCCTCCCTCCACCTTCCCTCCCTCCCCTCCCCTCCCTCCCCTCCAAACGGGGGTCGCAGTTGTGCACCCCGGGCCTCCTCGCTCGGAGTCGGGCCCCCCGGGCCCTGCGCGGCTCGAGGAGCCCGGAAGGCACGGGGGCCTCGGGCTCCGGCCGTGATGCCCAGGCGCTGCCGCATGCGCTCCGCTCGGGGGCTGCCGGACGTGCCCCTGGCCCGAGGTGCCCCCCGGATTCCCGGGGTGACCCCGGCGGCCTCCAGGGCGCCCCTCGCGAGGCCCGGCGGGGCCCCAGGGGCTCCAGAGTGGAGCGAAAAGGGGGAGGAGGAGGAGGAGGAGGAGGAGGAGGAGGAGGAGGAGGAGGAGAGGAGGAGGAGGAGGAGGAGGAGGAGGAGGAGGAGGAGGAGGAGGAGGAGGAGGAGGAGGAGAAGTAGGAGGAAAAGTAGGAGGAGGAGAATGAGGAGGGGAGGGGGGGTGGGGGCACCTTGGGCCAGGGGCACTTCTAGCAAGACTCGATCCGTAGTTCTGAGGGGGGCCAGTCCGTGGCCGGACAGGCCCCTCCTTTCCTCGTTCGGTGCTCCCTGGCGATGGCTTGAAGTCGGGCGCGTCCCTCTACAGGAGGAGTGTTCCAAAAGAGTCAGAAATTAGTCAGGGGTCGATTTTTCTAGCATTTTTTTGTTATTTTTACTAAAATGTTTTTGTTTAATTTTAAAACCATTTTGGAGTTTGTTTTGAGTATTTTCCATTTGTCGTCGAAAATCGGCCTGTAGGGGGACATGCCCGACCTAATCCTAGATGGGGTCGGAGCAGATGTGGTCGGAGGATCGCGCCGCATCGACGATGCATCGGCCATGCGGCTCGATGTGGAGCCCGATTTGCTTCGCGTCGACGTCGCCGATGCATCGCCCACGTCGCCGATGCATCGCCGGTGCATCGCCGGTGCATCGCCGATGCATCGCCGATGCATCGCCGATGCATCGCCGATTCATTGGCGATGCGGCGCGTTCCTCCGACCCCATCTAGTCGGACCCCATCTAGGAGGCCTCTAGTGTATAGTTGGCGTCCGCCTGGGTTTGTGCTTGCCGGTCGCCGTCGTCGTCCGTCGTCGCCGTCGTCGTCGTCGCCGTCGTCGTCGTCGTCGTCGTCGCCGCCGTCGTCGTCGTCGTCGTCGTCGTCGTCGTCGTCGTCGTCGTCGTCGTCGTCGTCGTCGTCGGCAGCTCCTCCGGGCCTCGGCGCCGCGGCCTTCGTGTCACGGCCCATGGTCTTCGTGCCGTTTTGGAGGCTGCCTCCTTGCCAGTGTGCCAGATCTCGCCCTTCCCATGCGTCCTCACCCGCTCCTGTTCCTGGCCATCTTCCCCTTCCCCGTCGTCCTTCTTCCTCTCCTGTTCCCTCCTCCCAGGATTCTCACCGCCGCCCCCTCCCCCTCCTCCTCTTAACCCCGTACATGGCTGCGGAGGAAGGGGCCTTCGAGGGCCTCCAAAAAAGGGAGGGGAAGCCTCGAGACCGACCCCATTAAGGGAGACTCCTCCTCCTTCTTCGTCCCATGCTCCTCCTCGTCCTCATCCTCCGCCACCTCCTCCTCCTCTTCCTCCTCCTCCTCCTCGTCGTCCTCGTCCTCCTCCTCCGCCTCCCTCTTCTCGTCCTCCTCGTTCTCCTCCTCCTCGTTCTCCTCCTCGTGCTCCTCCTCCTCTTGCTCCTCCTCCTCCGCCTCCTGCTCCTCCTACTTTCCCTCTTCATTAGAGTGGCAAAATCGTTCCTCTCAGGCAGTTCGAGGCATTTCTTTGATCCACGGAAGCTTCAGAAACATTAGCATGGCAGCAGGTCGGAGTGAGTACGCAGCTAGGCTTCCGTTACAAAGTGAGGGACTGTAGAAGCCTGCTGCACGCCACATTAGAATTTGACCATCTTTACTTATGCCAATTGCTGTCTCTCGTTGCTCTGACGCGCCCCCCACAGAGAGGCAGCCGAGAGGCACGCCCATCCGTTACCGCATCCATCACCATCCAGCATTCACGAAAACAGCGAGGAGGAGGAGGAAGATGAGGAGGAGGAGGAGGAGGAGGAGGAGGAGGAGGAGGAACAGCGAGGTGTGGAACGTTTTTCCCTTTTTCTGGTTTTGGGGTGCCTTCTTCCGTGTGCGGCGGGGCCTTCTCCGCCGACGGGGCAGCGCTCGCGGCCATAAGCTGCATGCACTCGCTCAAGGCCCAGGCGGCCTTCAGTCCAGATGCTTGCTGGATCTTCTCTGAGAAGAGTATGACACCAGAGCAAAACCCCGATCAGTGGATGGTTTTCGCTGAGGAGATCGACCGGGAACCCGGCAGCCCGGGAACCCAGAACCCACCGGAATCGGCCCGGAACCAATAGCCGGGAAGCCGGGAACCCAGAACTGGAAACCCGGGAACCCAGCCTGCTACCAAAATCGGCGGGAAGTTTTCGCCAAATTTTTCAGCTTCGGCCAGGACGCCTTCAGTGCAAGCACTGATTGGGGAATGATAGAGCGTCTGGCCCGGCGGCCAGTTCCTGAGCACCCAGCCCACCACCTCCCCCTTCCACTTTAGCGGCCACGGCCTCGGCGGCGACGCATGGGCGCATTTGAAATAGAGCTCCCAATACCCCTAGGCGGCGACGCCTGTCGTATTCGAAACAGGCGCCGTAATATGCGGTTGGCGTATTCTATCCTGCTGCCTGTGGCAAGTCCCGCCGCCGTGCCTGGGTTGTGCGTATGAAGCCTATCGGTTGTTCGTTGGGACCTCGTGGGAGGCCTCTCGGGGGTCTCCTGGGGGCCGGTTCGAGGCCTCTTGGGTCCGTTCGAGGGCCTCTTGGGGCCTCTTCTTGGAGGCGACGCCTGGGCGGCGCCGCGACGGGCCGCTGGCAAGGAGACCCCCCCCAAGAGGCCCGGGAGGCGCGGGAAGCTCGCGCTGCCGGCGTGCATCACGGCAGCGTCATCCTCCGAAGCAAAAAAAAGTAATGGCATAGACATGAACCTTTTTGGCGGCCCGCGCGGATTTCTTGGATCTGCGAGGGCCCGCGCGTGCCCGAGATGCCAGGCTGGCTCCGCTGGCCCCCCGGGCGGCAGGGCTGCGCCGGCGCCGTGCGCGGCGGCGTGCGCAGGACGGCATCGCGAGGAGGAGGAGGAGGAGGCGGAGGCGGAGAGGAGCACGAGGAGGAGGCGGAGGAGCTCGAGGAGGAGAACGAGGAGGAGGAGGAGGAGGAGGAGGAGGAGGACGACGACGATTCCGACGACGACGACGGCGACGCTGACGACGCTGACGACAACGACGACGACTACGACGACGATAATGATGCTGATGGCGATGACGATGACGATGATGATACGGATGATGATGATGATGATGATGATGATGATGATGATGATGATGATGATGATGATGATGATGATGATGATGATGCTGATGATGATGATGATGATGATGTTGATGATGATGATCATGATGATGATGATGATGATGATGATGATGATGATGGTGATGATAATGATGATGGCGGCGCGCTCGAGGAAAGTGACGACGAGGACGAGGACGAGGAGGAGCAGAGGTGGAGGAGGAGGAGGAGGCGGAGGTGGAGGAGGAGTGGGAGGAGGAGCAGCACGAGGAGGAGCACGAGGAGGAGGAGGAGGTGGAGGAGGAGCACGACGACGACGATTCCGACGACGACGACTGCGACGCTGACGACGCTGACGACGACAACGCTGAGGATGACAACGACGGCGACGACGACGACAATGATGATGCTAATTAATTACGATGACGATGACGGTGACAATGACGATGATGCTCATGATGATGATATGATTATGATGATGACGATGGTGATGAGGATGAGGATGATGATGAGGGTTATGATGATGATGATGATGATGATGATGATGATGATGATGATGATGTTGACGACGATGACGATGAAGATGAGGATGACGATGATGATGATGATGATAATGATGATGATGTTGATGATGGTCGTGGTGGTGAAGATGACGACGATGGTGATGATTATGATGATGCTGATGCTGATTCTTATGCTGATGATGATGCTGATGGTGATGCTGCTATTGCTGATGCTTTTGAAGAAGATGCCGATGACGTTAACGATAATGGTCATGATGATGCTGATGATAATGATAACGATGGTGGTGACGGTTATTGTGATAGTGACGACGATGAGGAGGAGAATGACGAGGATGAGGATGAGGAAGCTGATGATGACGATGATGATGACGGTGATGACGATGCTGATGCTGCTGCTGATGATGATGCTGCTGCTGATGATCATGATGCTGCTGATGATGATGAGGAGGATAAGGATGTTGATGATGACGACGATGACGATGAGGAAGAGGTGATGATGATGATGATGATGATGATGATGATGATGATGATGATGATGATGATGATGATGATGGTGGTCGTGAAGTTTTGGATGATGATTACGATAATGACGACGATTACGATCGTGATGATGCTGATGATGATGCTAATGTTAATGATGATGGTGATGATGATGATATTGTTGATGTTGATTTTTGTTATGGTAATGATGAGGATCAGGATGACGATGGTGATGATGATGATGCTCATTCTGATGATGATGATGGTGGTGGTGGTGAAGATGACGACGATGGCGAGGAGAAATATGACGATGATGTTTGTCATGATGAGGAGGGCGATGCTGCTAATAATGAAGACGATGATGCTGATGATGCTGCTGCCATTGATGCTGATGATGACGAGTTGAGATGACTTCGATTCTGATGATGATGATGACGATGATGGTGATGTTGATGACGATGATGATGATGATGATGATGATGATGATGATGATGATGATGATTATGATGATGATGATGATGATGATGATGATGATGCTGATGCTCATGCTAATGCTGCTGCTGTTGCTGATGCTGATCATGATGATGGTGGTGGTGGTGGTGGTGACGAGGATTATGACGACGATGCCAATGAGGAATGTGATGTCGCTGATGATGCCGATGTCGACGACGACGATGCTGAAGATGATGACTTCGCTGCTGCTGCTGATGCTGCTGATGATGATGTTGATGATGACGATGCTGAGGACGAGGACGATACTCCTGATGACGAGGAGTTTCAGTATGATAATGACGATGGAGATGCCGATGATGAGGATGCTGATGCCGATGCCGATGCCGATGCCGATGATGATGATGATGATGATGATGATGATGATGATGATGATGATGATGATGATGATGATGATGATGATGGGGACGATGACGATGATGCGGAGAAAGAGGTGGAACTC